GATCAACACTTATGTGCACATACAGTAGTAACACTCATTGGGTGTCAGGCAGGTGGGAGGGGAGGGGATGGGTATATTCACACCTAATGGGTGCAGTGTAAACCATCTGGGGGATAGACACACTTGAAGCTCTGACTCGGGTGGGGCAAAGGCAATATATATAACCTAAACATTTGTACCCCCATAATATGCTTAAATAATAAATAAAGTTTAAAAAGTGGCACATAGGATTGTAAAATATTTTTATGACAGGCTAGAAAAAAATAAATTCCAAAAAAAAAAAAGGAATGGTGAGAGATAACATTGCAAATTCAGGAGCCGGATCACAGAAGAGCCTTGGATATTAAGGCTTAGGAGTTTCAACTTTACACTGAAAGGGGAAAAATATGATTGATTATGATTGTTTTAGAAAGATGATTCTGGGGGAAGAATAGAGGATCATTTGGAGGCTGTGTGAAACTGGTGGTAATAGGATCAGCCAGGAGGCCACAACATAAATCTAGGTAAAAAATATGATGAAGATCAAACTAAGGGCAGTAGCAACAGAAGTAGCATATATAATGAATCATATATTTAATAAGTAGAGCTGACAGAATTTGACAACTAATTATACAGGGTGTGAAGGAGAAACTGAGCCAAGGATGATATTAAAGATTCTGGCTGAGGTGCCACTTCAAGGTACAGAAAAAGGTTTTAGGTTTATGGAGTAAAAGGTCATGTTGACTTGGAAGTCTATCTGGGTGGAGATGTGTAATAAGCCATTGAAATATATTGTCCAGCAGTTCAGTAGAGGGTCTGGGCTGACACCATGTATTTAGGAGTCATAGAAATATAGTGGTAAGACAATGAATGAGTCCATCAGAATGAGAAAAGAATGGAAACCAGGACATGCTAAAATTATGATATCAGTGGAAGAACAAATCCACAAAGGAGTCAGAAAATGTGTAAATTGAGAAAAACATGTCTACCTGGAAGGGAAGTGACAAATGTCAAAGCAAGAGTTTCAGCAAGAAATGGTTACTTTACCGAAAGCCCTAAAAGCATGTGAAACATGTTAAAACCTGAAAGTATTCACACGATTTGACAAGGACAAAATTTTCTTTACATTGGCAATAGTAATTTCAGTGGAAAAGGGTGCCCTTTAGAAAAATCATTTTTGAAAGTCTTTATATAAAAGCATTTATCAAGGTCTATCTTTATTCCTAGTAGGCTATTCTCATCATTTTTTTTTGCGGGGGGCAGTAATTTGATTTGCTCTTTTGATTTGGGAAGAAAAAAAGTCCTTTGTCACAAATGCAATGACTGTCACTGACTCAAAAGATGTCTTGGCATGCTTCAAAGCCAGAAAATTAGGCAAAGTACTGTCCAATCTTCTGATACAAATAATTGCAAGTAGGGTGGCTACCTGAAATCAAGAAATAAGGCAAGTACTCAAAACTGTAATGTTTAACAGTGTCAAAGCATTGACCTGAACAGCTTTTCACCAAGTTAATTGAAGTATCAAGACAAAATTTATAAAAAGGAAATGTTTCCCTCAGACTTCTCTGTTACATCAATTCTGCAACAAGTATTGATACACAGGATGGAGACTATTTAAAGGTGAAACTGAATTGGGAATGAGTACTTATTAATTAAATTTCTGAAACATACCTTGACTTTTAAGACCTTCCTTGATCAGCCCGTAACTCACACCTCTAACTTTACTTTCCAATACTTTCCCCAATATAAATTGATTTCTTAACGTTTGGCTGATGAAACCCCCAGAGGCCAGTACTTATTACAGTTGTGTTTGAGGAACCATATACACAAACCTGTTTTCTCAAACAGCAGCTACTAGAAGCTTTAATTACTATACTGTGGGGTGAGTGTATGATAAAATTTTTGGTGTTACTAAGGGACCCTCACACTTGAAAAGATTGGGAACCATTGCCTCATGATGGTATTCACCAAACATACCTTATTCATTCTTTACTTCAGCCACACTGTTCCTTCTATCTGGGATGCTTTCTCTTCTTATCATGATTTATCAAAGTCTTGTTTTTCCTTCAAGGTAGAGTTTAACTGACGCTTTGTCTCTGAAGCCTTCTCTAGTCCCTGAAGCCAAAAGTGTTCCTCCATCCCCACTTTCTTTATATCTATCTGTATTTTATGTCACTTTCACATAACACTAGAATTTTTTGGATATCTTCTCTCTCCCATTGGATTGAGTTCCTTAATAGAGGGAATATGTCTTCTTCATTTTAAAAATATTTCAAATATTGTGTTGCTCTACACTTAAAATAAG